GTAGTGGATGAGTTCCAAACATGCTTCAAAGAAAGCATGGTCTCTGGATACATACACAAGAGAACAAAGATTCTTGTTCAAAGACAAATGGTTTAAGGATATGAAGAAATTCAAAACAAAAATTTAATTCTTCAAATGGTTTGAATGTTCTGTCCAAATTAATGAGACCAATTCATCGCTTCTGGTTTTGGTAAACAGGTGGCATACCAAAGATAAGGTTGTCGAAAGTATTGATCCTCCTTTTGAAGGATTAAACATTCCTTACAGAAAAGATATTTTAAAGGCAATTGCTTTCAAGAAGCCTTCTGAAAGTAAAGGAACGACCATTGTAACAGTTGAAGATAGTAGGTGCCCTAAAAGAAAGTCTTCCTCACTCAAAAAAACTATTTTTCCAGACCGTCTTCTCCTGACAACTAGTTTGAGGAAAACAATATGCATCCCCAGAGTATTGCAGATAGCACTGGAATAACAGAATGGAATATTGATGGAATGGCTAATGGCCGAATCTATAATAAACTCCAAGAGATGGGCATGAACATCACAACCAATAAATGAAAAAATGCTACCAATAAACAAGCAGCTAACAGGATAGTTGCCGGAATTACAGGTACTCTCTGAAATTGGCGGGACAATTATCTCACAGAACAAAATAGAAATGAAATTTTGAATGGTATGGCAAACAAGAATATTGTTAAGACTGAAGGTGGACAAACCACTACATCGGTAGAGGTAGTTGAGGACGCAACTACGACTCTACTTTATAGCATTGCTAAACATTTCATGGGAGAACCACGACTATTTCATGATAGGAGATTAGAGATTCTAAACAATCTTTACTGTAAGAAATTGACAGATTTCAGGTGGTATAGAGATATGTTTATTACAAAGGTCATGCTAAGAGATGACTGCAATAATGATTATTGGAAAGTGCGATTCCTTAGTGGATTACCTCCTCATTTTGCTGAAAAGGTTAAATCCAAAATTAGAGATCGATGTGAAGGTAAAATTCCTTATTCAGAAATGACCTATGGAGATCTAACCAGCTTAACTAATATTATAGCATTGGATCTGTGTACTGATCTGAAGCTAAAGAAACAAATTAAGAAAGATCAGAAATTCTCAAGTAATGAACTTGGAAGCTTTTTTCAAGACTTTGGATTCCCAAGTCTAAAGCCCCCTTCAGCAAGAAAGGTTTCGAAGAAAGAACGATTGAGAAAATCATCACCTAAAAGAAGATCCTCAAAAAGGAAAGTATATTCTAAAGGAAAGAAAACTTCTCACAACACATCTGACGAATACAAGTGTTGGACTTGTGGATAATCAGGACATAAGTCTCCTGATTGTCCAAGAAACAAAAGAAAAAAAAAGAAGACCAGTCTTCTTGAAGTTGATGAAGAAACTAAGGAAAAGTTTCTGTCTATATTGAACAAAGAAGAATCAGATTCAGATTCCTCTTCAGAAGAAAAAACTGAGGATGAAGAATTCCTCAATGTTGCTCAAGATTCAGAAGATAGTGGACAAGAATGCAATTGTCGAGGAGCATTTTGTCCTTGTGATAGCCAATCTATCATAGTACTATCAAAAGATTCTGCAGAGATCTTATTTGCAACTATTGAGGATATCAAAGATGATGATGCAAGAAGAAGCTATTTTTGGAGCTTCAAAAGCTTGTCACTAAACAAAAGGAGAAAGAAGTTACAATGAATGTAACTCCTTTCAGCGTGAAGCAAATCATGCAATGGTATACAGATAAGAAGGAATAACCCTCTATCAATGAAGCAGAAGTTAACTTTCTCAAGGAAGAAGTTAATGCACGACTTAACAAGATAGAAATTGATGCTTTAGCACAACAGTTCTTAAAAGATGCTAAAGTATCACTTAAAGGAAAAGAATCAGTTCATTTAGTAAATGAAGAAAGAAATTCTGAAGACCCTCAGTCTACTCCTTCATCACCTAGAGATGAAACTGATACGGGTAATACTGATGCAGGTATTAGTATGATTACACAAGTGAGACCTCAAATTTGTCACATTAAGATTAAACTAGTTTTTTATTCTAATTTTGTACTTAACAAAATTTCTCTGTTAGACAGTGGTGCAGATAGAAATTGCATTGTTGAAGGTTTAATTCCAACTAAGTACCTCCAGAAGGGAACTACTAAGAAATGCATCGCTACTGGTGAGCATATCTGTATAAATTAGAAACTTTCTAATGCGCATATCTGCAATGACGGTATTTTCCTTACTAATGATTTTGTCATAACAAAAAACATTAATGAAGAAATTATTTTGGGTATACCTTTCATAACTCAGATAAAACCTTATATTTCTGATTTTGATTCAATCAAAACAAAAATTTTAGGAAAAGAAATTTCGTTTCGTTTTATCAAAACACTTCTCTTGAAGAAGTACATTTTTGCATAAACAAACTGCATTTAAAATCAATTAGCTTTGTTTTCTCAAAAAAGATATTAAAATAAAAAAAATTGAGCAAATTTTAAAAGCCCCGGGAATGGTTGCTAAAATTGCTATTCTTCAAAATAAATTTGAAAGTGAAATTTGCTCAGAATTTCCTAACACATTTTGGGATCGAAAGACCCACATTTTAGATTTACCATACATTGATGGATTTGATGAAAAGAACATTTCTACGAAACCTAGGCCTATTCAGATGAATAATGAATTAATGGAAATCTGCAAGGAAGAAATAAAAACCCTTTTGAATAATAAAATTATTCGTCCTTCAAAATCACCTTAGAGTTGTTCAGCATTTTATGTTAACAATGCAGTTGAACAAGAACGAGGTTCTCCAAGACTTGTAATTAATTACAAGCCTTTAAGCTCATTTTAAAAATGGATTCGCTATCCGATTCCTAACAAAAGGGATCTTTTAAAGAGAACTTTTAATGTTTATAGCAAATTTTGTTTAAAATTAGGTTTCTGGCAAATTCAAATTGCTGAAAAAATAAATATAAAATTGCTTTCAATGTCCCATTTGGACAATATGAATGAAATATCATGCCTTTTGGGCTTAAGAATTCCCCATCTTAATTTCAAAATATAATAAATTCAATTTTAATCATATTAGCATTATTTCAATTGTCTACATTTATAATGTGTTAATCTTCTCCGAAGACTTAGATTCTCATTTCAAACATTTTAATGTTTTCTTTAATATTATTAAGCACAATGGTTTGGTCATTAGTGCTAAAAATATTAAATTATTTCAAACAAAAATCAGATTTTTAGGACATGATCATTATCAAGGTACCTATAAACCAATTTACAGAACAATTGAGTTTTCCGATAACTTTCCCAATGTCATTTTAGATAAAACTCAGCTGCAGATATTTTTAAGAAGTCTCAATTATTTTTATGACTTTATTCCCAAAGTTAAACATATTTGCAAACCTCTGTTTGACAGGTTAAAAAAGAATCTGTCTCCTTAGAGTGACAATCACACCAAAGCAGTTATCTTACTCAAGACTATGGGTAAGAATCTTCCTTGTCTTAGTATCTCTAACCCATAATTTTTTATGATAGCTGAGACTGAGGCATCTGACATTGGATATAGTGGTATTCTTAAACAAATAAAAAACCCCAATTCATCAGAGCAATTCATTCGCTAAACCTCAAGAATCTGGAATTTCGCTCTGAAAAATTATAGCACTATTAAGAAAGAAATTATTGCTAATGTTCTTTCCATTACTAAGTTTCAAGGTGATTTAATAAATAAAGAATTCTTACTTAGTGTAGATTGTAAATCTGCTAAAGAAGTCCTCCAAAAGGATGTTAAGAATATTGTTTCTAAACAGATTTTTGCCAGATGACAAGCCTTATTAGCCAGCTTCGATTTCCAAATCGAATTTTTTAAAGGTGAAAATAATTCTTTACCATATTTTTTAACTAGAGAATTCTTGCAGGGTAAACATGAGAAGACCACAAATTAGGCCCATAGCGGGTAAACAAACAGCAAGGCCCAATACAAGTGGCCTAACAAGAGCATCAGGCCCATTTGCAATAAGGTCTGAAATAAATCATACAAGGCCTGATATAAATAAGTCTTCGTCTTTAGCCCAACTGCCTCAACCATTCCTCCTGAACTTCCTCAGAATAGTTCGTCAAAAATGTTGATCTTGAGGAAGCCTTTTCTAAAGGAACAAGAGCCCAGCTCATCTTCATCACCAAGCGGAGAACTTATATTTTCCCAAAAGCAAACAAGTGGTTGTTACGCTATGAAACAGCCCCAAAGTTTTGCAGAAGCAGTCTCTCCAAGAAGTGCCAAAACTACTCACAAAGAGAAAGAGAAATTTGAAATGGTTTCTCTACAGGTTTTTCCTATCCTTGCTTTAGATAAGGAATATGAAGGGTATGAGTAAAACATCTCTTAAAACCAATTTTATACAAATAGGAAGTATGCAGAAACAAATAATTCCTTGAAAACCAGAAGATATTTTGAATTCATCCTTGTTGATACAGGATCAATTGAGATTGAACATGAGTTAGAAGACAAATCTGACCCAAATAGCATTACTTACTCTAAGGCTATCAACACTACCAAATAATTTAAAGCTCTGTAAGTTTTTCCTTAAAAAACGTTTATCTTATATTATAATTCGGACGTTTGTTATTGCAGATTTTGACAGGATTAAGTTTCTTTCTAAAGAAATCCGAGTCAAAGGTTGGTCTCCAGCCAAAAAAGATACACCTCCATCTTCAAGTAAGAAGACATTATCAAAAGTTTCACCCTCAAAGAGAGAAATGAAGAAGAGACTTGAAAAAGCTCTATCTGAGTTAGATGATAATACAGAAGAAGTTGCAATTAATCTACTTCTTGAAGAAGCATCCTCCCAAAGCGATGACAATGGTGATATGCTAAATCCAAAGTCTTTAGAAAATTCATATTTAAATTCATTTGATTAAATTCTAATTGAGGTATTAAGACCGGAATAATTAGTCTTTCTAATAGATATCTAAAAGATCAGAATTATTAAGAAAGAAACAAAGGATTCTCAAAGAGATGGAATCTTTGTTAAGATAATCAAAATGGAATAATTAATTTCATCATAAAAAATCATAGGAACCAGTCAGCATCTGCAAAGCATGGCCGACCAGGACCTTATCATCAACAATAGCCAATAAAGGTGGCAGACAAGGACTTTACTAAAGATAAAGTCGAAAGGAAAAGATGCCTTTTCAAAAGCAAAAGTAGTGGAGGAAAATAAAGAAGTTGTCTTTCTTTCTCATAAGCAAAAGAAATGGAGGAAAACGAAGAGCCAATAAGAAAATAAGCTTTACGATTTTCCTTATCCTCTTTCGTCTATATAAGACAATGTAATAAATCATGGAAGGCATCAGAAAATTCACGAACATAAATTTTCTTGAATGCTCTAGCTATTTCTCTTGCTGTAAAATGTTTGAAGATCAATAAAGAAGTTTGCCTATTTTGTGAGTCTTTAATTATTTCTGCACTTTCGATTATTTTTTAACTTTCGGATCCTCAAACGGATGGCCAGGCAGACTGTACAATTCAGACACTTGAAGATGTTTTGCGAGTTTGTATATTAGATTTCAAGGGTAGCTGGGATGATCACCTACCACTTATTGAATTTGCTTATAACAATAGCTACCATTCGAGCATTAAGATGGCACCTTATGAAGCTTTATATGGTCGAAAGTGTAGATCACCAATTGCCTGGTTCGAAACAGGTGAGACTGCCTTATTTGGGCAAGTCTTCTTCATCAAGCTATGGAAAAAGTCAAAGTGATACAGCAACGGCTAGAAACAGCTCAAAGTCGATATAAATCATATGTAGATATTAGAAAGAGAGGACTAAAATTTTCTATAGGAGATTGGGTGTTCTTTAAGGTGTCTCCGATGAAAGGGAAGTTAAGAAATAAAGAAGTAGCTTATGTAAAAGTACTATGGAGAAACCAACAAGTAGAAGAAGTTACATGGGAAGCATAAGAAGCAATGAAATTGAAGTATCCTCACCTCTTCCAGACTGGTGAGAAAGATCAAAATGTTAGTGGAGGCGTTGGCGGGTAAGTATTAGCTTATATGTTCAATGTGATTAATAGTAGTACTAACTTAGTCTTGACCTTGTGTGGGCTGGACAACATTGCTAACATTCGAGGATGAATGTTTTATAGGGGGAAGGATGTGATTGCCTGTATTATGTATATGCTAGTTCGATTCATGTGATATTTTACATAGACTTATAGTGTAGGTAAGGGATCATGTTTCTTATATGGTTAGTGTTGGTTTAAGCTAGCTCGTTAGGTGATGTAACGCCTTGCACATTTCAGCATATGTATTGCAAGTTAACTATGACGGAAAGTATTTAAGTAGATATAGTAAGGTGGTAATTGAGATTAAAGCAAAAAGTTAAGTACTAAGTTGAAGAACAAGGGGATTAACATTCAGAAATTGAAATAAAATAATTGAGATGCTTGCTTGGCTTAATTTAAGCTAGCAACTGCATCATCTACTTAAGTTATAATATAGTTAAAGGGCCAAGTTTTATGGACCAGATTTATGCTTATATAAATGGGCTGTCACTTGAAGCCCTAACCTATTAAATGAAATTGATATTTGAAAGAAATCCCAGCAGCCAAATCTGCCAAGGCCAAATATGGATAAAGCCTAAGTGAAATCAACTAGGTGTATCACCTAGTTTGCCCTTTTGAGCTGCTTGATGTGCACAAGCAAGTGCATCACCTAATTGACCAATTAGTGGCTGAAAATGGACCCAAAAATAGGAGGTTCTAGAGGATATTTTTGTGGTCAATAAACCTCTATATATATCCAATATGAGCAGATATTCTTCATTCATTTAACATATAAAAATAAAATTTAACTCCAACTCAATTTCTCTTTTCTCTCAAGGATTAAACCAACAGCCTTAACGTTTTCTAGGGTTCTTGAAGAAACCCTTATATCTGCAAACCAAGGTAAGTAAAGGGAAGCTGAAGTTCTAAAAGAATTCAAGTTATAAGCAGAAGTTGCAGAGATTGAGGTAAGGTGACTGCTCCATTTTTGTCTTCCTTATGTATGAGTTTGAGTGAGAAATGAAGGTGTGGTGATACACATTATATTAAGGGTTGTATGAGCTCATTATCAGTCAAAGTTAGCTAGTGTTTTTCAAGGCTCACGGTGTGATAGCATCTAATTTTAGTTTACCATGACATAAATTGTAGATAAATACCAAAAAGGGGAGGCTAAATCGTGATAGTATATCAGTCCGAGGATAAGGTATGTAAAGCTATTTGATTCTATATCCCTTTGGCATGAAATCTGACACCTGTAATTAATATCAATGAAGTGAATATCATAAGTTCTATTTCTAGAAAAGGAGACATAGTGATAACGTACTATCTCCAAGTAGCTAACAATATTTTACCCTCTCTGTAGTGCATAGACCTACTTCATCATACGTTCACTATTTTATACTTGTGTAGTTATCCCCCATGAGCTGGTATAGAAATGGTATTTGCAAAAGCAAGTCTGTGACTCCTCCTCTTTGTTGTTTGAAGTCAGTTGTTTCATTAATCCCTCAAAGTAATGTATTGATATTGCATAGCTCCTTATGTCATTGTTATTTCCTTTAAGTATTGTTTTTATGTCTTTTATTACTGGTCCATACATCCATATCTCCAAAATAATTATGACCAGCAAAATAATATCTCAAAAGAGTTAGGAACTGATAAACAACAATCTCAAAGATTAAAGAATCTAAGTGAAGAAATCTATATAATTATGCGTGGCAGCTCAGGGGCGAAAGCCTAGGATGGGTTGATCCCAACTAGTACATAAAGGTGGTAGCTCAGGGGCGAAAGCCTAGCATGGTCCGATCCCTATTGGTATAGAAGGGTGGCAGCTCAAGGGCGAAAGCCCAGCATGGGCCGATCCCAAGTTATGTAATTATGAGGACCGCATCCCAGGGGTTAATACGCCTAGCATGGGTCATCCTCTTCTACCGCTGATCATATGGTCACTTGTATCACATGCCCTACAAATATTATGACATACAAAAAAGTAAGAAAAAAATGTAGCTTACTTGATCCCACAAGAGTAAGCAAAGGTGGTCTTCTCTCCTAATCTATGTACTCATATGTTGCTTTTTGATTTCATTTGAGCTCTCATATTACATATGACATTGCATTACATATTCAGTACATTTTTTTGTACTGACGTCCCTCGGGGGGATGCTACATTTTATGTTGTAGGCACATATACTCCAGCTAGTAGACCTCTTCTCTAGGATCACACAAAACTGTGCTACTTTTGGGTGAGCTCCAAGTTGATTCGGAGATTTATTGAGTCTTTGGTAAATTCATTTTGGTGTTGTATGGTAGTTAAGGGCAAGGCGGGGTCTTAACCGACCTACTCTAGTCTTCTATTTTTTAGAGGCTTTGTAGATGTATGTACATGGTTCAGTTGTGTCTTAAGGAGTTGTGGCCTCAACGACCAAGTCTTGTATATAACTTTTGGACCTACTTATGTTGTTTTTATCTCTACATCCTAGGTGAACTTGCCAATTATTATAGTTATATGCACAGTAAGATCAGGTTGCGGGTTGGTTCTCTTGGGCCTTTAGGGCATCGGGTGCCTTTTCGTCTTAATGGGTTCTCAGGCGTGACACAACTGTTGTTGGTGAGCTCTAGGTTGATTTGGGGCTTTGCCGAGTCTTTAATATGCATATTTTGATAGCACGGATTCCAATAGAGGCTTTGTAGACATTGTAAAGCTATCAGTTGTATTCATAGTTTCTTGTCACTTGTATTGGTTCAGCTAGTCAACATGTGTTGCATATAAGGCTTTTCATTAGTAATCTGCATAATAGTTTACTTTCTCATCATAGGTTACTTCTAAATCATGAGGTGGACAAGTACCCTATGAATACATGCTTTACAAGTAACCTAGTATGAGAAAGTAAACTATTATGCAGATTACTGATGAAAATCTTTATATACAACACATGTTGACTAGCTGAACCAAAACATGTGACAAGTGAAACTATGAATACAGATTATAACTTTACAATGTCTAGAAAGCCTATATTTGAATCCATGCTATGAAAATACGCAAAGTAAAGACTCCGCAAAGCCCCAAATCAACCTGGAGCTCACCAACAACAACTTAGTGTCATGTGCTTCTATTGGGGAAATCCACTTTTGAATACTTGTACATGCAGCATGAAATGGTGCGCCCCAATAAGGGACCTCAATACGAAAGATTAAATTGAATATGTAATCATATGTGACATGAGAGATCAAATGAAACCAAGTATCAATAAATAAGGATTAGAGACCACCTTTTTTTGTACTTGTGGAATTGTGTATGTTACATTTTTTTCTTTACTTTTCTGTGCGTTAAACTTTTTGTAAGTCATATGATACAAATGACAGTTGATCAGTGGTGGGAGAGGATGACCCATGCTATGCATTTTAACCTTGATATGCTGTCCTTATAATTCCAAAAATTGGGATAGGCCCATGCTAGACTTTCGCCCTTAAGTTGCCACCCTTTTATACCAATCGATATCGGCCCATGCAACATTCAATGGTGTATCACAACACTTTCAATGTACTATTCATTAACAAGTTTTCATGACTGCTCTAAATATCCAGCCAGACCCTCTTATTTATATGATATAAAAATAGTCCCTAAGCCTCACAATGTGGAAATAACAATATGAACCCATGACTTCCGATCAACATCCTATGAATTCAAACTAACATTTAGATTCTAAAAACAAGTACAATTAAAATTTAAGGGGACTCCACTCCATGTATGTCCCGACAAACACCTCCTTCCTGAACATTCACCAATCTCACACCATACAGAGCCAACACTCAACAATTCATTAACACATACAAACTTTTACAAATAATGTAATAACAAGAGAGGGATGAAAATTTCCATAGCTTACCTTGCTAGACAGAATCCTCAATTGCCAAGACTTGGATTCTTTAAGGCTTAGGTTGTCCTCTTCCCCTTACCTTGACGTTAATTCATATTATTCACTTTATTATCACAAGATGGAGATGTTATACCAACTTGTACTTTAAAAACACACATTTCCTTCAGATTCTAATGGTGAGCTGTAGAAAAGAACTCGTTGGAGCTTCTATGGCTTTCCTTGGGAGTAATTTTCTTGAAAATAAGTGATGAGGGAGAGGTGATAAACTTGATGCTTTCGACGTCCCTTTTGGACATTTTCACTCAATAAATTTGAGAAACAATATGGCCCTTTACTTGTAAGCAAGAAGGTGCATTACCTCGTTAGTGTCGGCCACATGTTTTTTAGTAACTGCATCAGCTACTTGCTCTTGTCACTTAAATTCAGTTTACTAATTCTAAGTAGGTGCATCACCTACTTTCTCCTTTAAAATTCAGTCCACTAGTTCTAAGTAGGTGCATAACCGACTTGATTCTTTTAACTTAAAATTCAGATCACTAATTCTAAGTAGGTGCATCACCTACTTGCTCCTTTTAAATTAAAATTCAGTCTACTAATTCTAAGAAGGTGCATCACCTACTTTCTCCTTTGAACTTAAAATTTAGTCCACTAATTCTAAGTAGGTGCATCACCTACTTGCTTTCTTAAAATTAAATTCAGTCCACTAATTCTAAGTACGTGCATCACCTACTTGCTCCTTCTAACTTAAAATCAGTCCACTAATTTTAAGTAGGTGCATCACTTACTTGCCCTTTTTCACTTAAAATGCATTTCACTAATTCTAAGTAGGTGCATCACCTACTTGTCACCTACTAGCATAGTTTAGTCAAGCAGGCACCTCAATTATTTGCACCATTTTCCCATCTTAAATTCTTTACAAGACCGTAACACTAAATACACACTTGACCACTTTGACTTTTAAATCGAATACCACCTTTTTATATCCCGAGTTTGAACTGTTTTTTGAGTTTAATTATTCGTATATGTGTTGGAAGGCACAGGGTATTACAACTTTAAACGTGAATATTGTCACCAGTCGCATAAGAAACCGAGTCCATAACTATACCACAAGGAAATTTTTAAGCGACATATAGATAGAACTTGTTCACGTAGAATAAGGGGTGTTACAGAAAGCTTGCAAAAATTTCCCCGAAGGCTTAGCTCTAGTGGAAAAAAGTGGTTGCTTAGGTCATATGTTCAAGCCCCACGCCATGTAAAGCGAATCCCGATATTTGAGTTGAGAAGGGTAGAGGGGCGAACCCATTATCAACCGATTTTAGAAGGCTATGATTGGTCCAAAGAGAGTCTTAGACATATATTTTGGTTATAAGAAAAAGATTTTGCAGAGACTTTCGAGAACTTCAGAAGTATTGATGACAAGGTAGGTATACGGTAGCTTGAGAAATTCTTTTTTTTTTTGTAATTTTACCAATACTCAACATAATTGGATTACTTCTTAGGTTGTGGGATTTCTGCTTCTTAAAGTGCATTTGCAAACTTACAGGCTACAATCTATGTTAAACTCTGTAACAGTCCTAGAATAATCTTCATCTTCCTTATCTCCAAGTGCAGCAGTGCATTGTTTGATTGACTTATGTCCTTCCTGACTACTAAATCTCTAGAAGAATTTCGTTCAAGTCAACTTGCATGTAGGTAACATTATTCAAAACTTCTAGGTTCACTTATCTGCTGTTAGTGCCTTCTATGTTCTCTTTTAGTTAACTAAGTTTGTCATCCATGTCTGCTTGCTTCTGCCTCATGTTTTCCTATAATCATATATACTTTTTATTAGTGATTGTAATATAGCTTTGAATGATTAGTTTATTTGGACACTAATTGAATCAGAACTGACTAGATCTCTACAATACTACATTAGTGATCTTTAATTTCTTGTGACAATGTGCATTTTTCAGTTTTTTGTCTTTTCTTATTTAATATGTTATTTGGCATCACTAGGTATGTCATTTTTGTAATATATTATTTGGCGTCACTTCAATATGCATTAGGCATGAACTTTATGGTTTGTGTTATTATTTGGCATCAGTTCAATGTGCATTAAATCGGAATTTCATGCCCTGTAGTTCTAATTTTACCTAATCTTTTATGTATGATAGGGAAAAGTTGAGGATTATAAATCTTCAAAAAAAGGACTTTAAGTGCCTCAAAGATAACCTCGTCTATTACTGGGATACACTGGTTGCTAAATGTGAAAATGGACCACTTTTTGAACCTCATTCTCGCCCAAACCTCCCAATTCTCGTCCTCTCACTCTTTCAGGGGGATTTTATGACACTTAAAAGCTTTAGAATCTCCATCAAATAAATAGATTGAAGAAACACAAAATTCCCAGAAGTACATACATTAAGAGCTTAAAAGAGACTCATGATTTTTTGTTAGGGTCTCGTCGGATTTCAGTAAAGCTCCATTTGTGGTCAGGTCATTCTTCGTCAGTCGTTACATCAATTGCTACTCGAAAAGAGGTAAACATCCCTCAAAATTTCACCTTAGATTCAATTATTATGTTATTTAGCTATAGATTTTTACTTGGTTTTTAGCAGTATATTTTGCCTTGTTCCTTTCACTCTTCAAAGTTTATTAAAGATTCTGATATGTCTATTGAGCTATGTTGCTTTATTTGAACTCTCTGCTAAATTTATATTTTCAAAATCTATGTTATGGCATTTTACTCATATCACACCTAATGCTTATTTCAGTTAGCACAACCTTAACTACATCTAGTCTATAGCTGTATGCTAGATCGAGCTCAAATGATCCATGACAGTCCTTTATGTTTTAGAATGGCTGGACCATTCACCCATGTGTGCTTGCTACCTTATCATGTTTTCCTGTACTCATATATTCTTTTGAATAGTGATTGGAATATATCTTTGAGTTATCAGTTTATTTGGACACTAATTGAATTAAAATTAACTACGTCCAGTAGTTTCTTGCAAAATTACTTTAGTAGCCTTTAATGTCTTACGATAATGTGCATTTTCTGAGTTTTTTTCTCTTTCATTAATTAATATATTATTTGGTGTCACTGGTTATGTTGTTGTTGTAATATGTTATTTGGTATCACCTCAAAATACATTAGGCATGAACTTTCTGGTTGGTTATTATTTCGTGTCAGTGCAATATGCATTAAACTAGAACTTCATGCATAGACCTACAATTCTAATTTTATTTGATCTTTTTTAAACGTTAGGGTAAAGCTGAGGATTACCCTGAAATGAGGCAAAACTCTGTTGCGCCACTTATTTTCCTCCATTATGAAAAACCAACAGCCCTTGTTTATGAAAAAGCAAACACTGTAAAAACAAAAATGGATTTGAAGTTTACTCTGAGATCTATGTGTTTCTTCTGTGTGTTTGTTTTATGTTGTTGACTGTTGATGAAATGTATATAAAGAAACATAGATGATGATTTTTCTATTTCTGGGCTAATAAATTTGGGACATTGAGATTATCCAGCACATATCATTGTGTGGCAACCCGATTTGGCTTGTTATTGTGCTTTTACTCTTACATGCAACCAGTGTTTGCAGCCATGGCATGATTGGCTTCTATTTTTCCCATTATAGAAAACATCTTATCTCCATTTCCTTCAAAAGAAATAGAGAGAAAGAATGGGTATCTCTACACACACAATGTTTGAGCATACTTGTCTCTTTTGTTTATCCTGTTAATGTTGGTTTTAGTCTTCTTCAACCTCTCCTAGATCAGCCTCTAAAACATAAAATATGGAATAAAAGAAGTTTTTGTATGTGATCTTAAAACTATTAAAGGGGACTATGTTTTCTTGATGCATTTTTGTTGTTTTAGGTTGGTAATGCTGAATATTCACTGCTTGTTCAAGGAAAATTTCCATCGAGAGCTTGCAAAAATTTCCCCTAATGCTTAGCTCTATTGGAAAAAGGTGGCAGATTTGTGACTTAGATCACATGTTCAAGCCCCACACCATGCAAAACGAAGCCTGAAGTGGAGAAGGGTAGAGGGTCCGGCCCATTATCCACTGATTTCTACTTCTTAAAATACATCTGCAAACTTACAGGCTACAGTCTATGTTAAACTGTTAAACTCTGTAACAGTCCTGGAACAATCTTCATATTCCTTATATCTAATTGCAGTGCATTGTTTAATATACTTGAGTCTTTCCTGACTACTAAATCTCCGGAAGGTCTTTGTGCAAGCCAAGTTGCATGTAGAATAAGCAGTATTCCAAAATTTCTAGATTCACTTATCAGCTTTTAGTGCCTTCTATGTTCTCTTTTAGTTACCTGAGTTTGCCACCTATGTATGCTTGCTTCCCCTCATGTTCTCTTATTCTCATATATTCTTCTTATTAGTGATTGGAATATAGCTTTGAATGATCAATTTATTTGGAAACTAATTGAATCAGAACCTACTAGATCTCTGCAATACTGCGTTAGTAGTCTTTATTGTCTTGTAATAATATGCTTTTTTTAGTTTTTTATCTTTCCATATATAATTTGTTATTTGGCATCACTGAGTATGTTGTTGTAATATATTATTTGGCATTACTTCCATATGCATTAGGCATGAACTTTCTTGTCGAAGTTAGATTTGGCATCGGTTCATTATGCATTTTAACCAAAATTGCATGCATAGACCTGCAATTTTAATTTTACCTAAACTCATTTGGATGTTAGGGTGAAGTTGAGGATTATAAAACATCAAAAAAAGACTTCAAGAACTTCAAAGATAACCTTGTGTACTTATGGGATACAATGGTTTCTGAATGTGAAAATGGACCACTTTTTTAACCTGATTCAGTCCGAATCTTCACCTATATGTCCCCTCATTGTTTCAGGGGGACTTTTTGACACTCTAAACCTAGAGGATATCCATCAAATAAATGGATTAGAGTAAAACAAAATTCCCAGAAATACATACATTACGAGGTTAAAATGATTTGAACCATTTGGTTCTTGTGAAACTTGGTGAAGCTCCGCTTGTGGTGAGATCATTGTTCTTCAATCCATAGCCTCAATCGCCGCTTGGAAAGAGTTAAAGATCCATCTAAGTTTCACCATAAGTTTAATTAATATGTTATTTAGTTGTAGATTTGGACTTTGATTTTTTGTAGTATTGCTTGCCTTTTTCCTTTCCCGCATCATAGTTCACTGAAGATTCCGATATGACTATTGATCTATGTTGCTTGCTTTGAACTCAGTGCTAAATTCATAGTTTAAAAAAATTATTTTATGGAATTTTACTCATATCACTGCTAATCTGCTTATTTCGGTTATCACAACCTTGCCTGTATCTATAGTCTATAGTTAGATATTATGCTAGGTTGAGCTCAAACGATCCATGTCCATGGTAGTCTATTTACATTTTAGAATGGTTGAACTGCTTCACCAATGACTGCTTGCTGCCCCCCTCATATTTTCCTACACTCGTTTATTTTTTCATTAGTGATTGGAAAATATCTTTGAATGATCAGTTTATTTGGACACTAATTAAATCAAAACTGACTAGATCTCTGTAATTTCCTACTACACTGCATTAGTGATCTTTAATGTCTTGCGATAATGTGCATTTTTTAGTTTTTTCTCTTTCCTTATTTAATATGCTATTTAGCATCACTAGGTACGTCTCTGTTGTAATATGTTATTTGGTGTCACTTCAATATGCACTAGGCATGAACTTTTCAGTCGGTGTTATTATTTGGCATCAGTTCAATATTCATTCAACCAGAATTTCATGCCCTTCAATTATAATTTTACCTAATGTCCAGTAAGATCTCAAAAATGGCTTAGGTGAAGCTAGAGACTAACATGGTTTTCATTATGGTCTAAGGTCCTAAAATGGTCTATAATGTGGCATTGAGGCAGTGTCTAGAGTTTTAGGTGCATTGAAAGTCAAACGTCAAGGGACTACTAAACATTCGATGATTAAGTTATTTATGTGCCTCATATGTGGTTATGTTCCTAATTATGTGTTTTATGAGTTAATAAGGTCCTTAAATGAGTTATTGTTGTGTTTATAGGCAGTGTTTCAAGTTTCAAGTTTTGTGGTCAAATGTCCAAGATCGTCATGACTTTCAAAAGGTTTGCCTTGAAACAACCTTGTGTGTCTATGCATGTTGCTTTGAGTTTTACGTGTTTGTTTTGGATGAAATAGATGTGGTAGACCCTAATATCGTATGCTAATATTTTTGAGTTGGAAACGTCCGGGAAAACATCCCCAAGGACCATCTAGGGGTCCTTGAGGAAGGACCCATGTTGGTGGCCAAGCCTGCTCGATAGTCCTTCTGTCTGTGAGGCTGTTCCTGTGCAGCTTGACTGTAAGTTGAGGGGTAAAGTTGTAGATTCACCCCAAGTCCAAATAAGACTTTGGTCCACTTAGGTGTCTTTTGGGTATTTTAAATATGTTTATAAGTCTAAAACACTTAGAAGATTTTATTTTCAAAATCAAAACCCAAATTCCCTTAAAAATTCTCTAGAACTCCATTGGAGCCAAAACTCAAGGAAGGGCTTGGATTAAAGAATTTAGTGGAGATTCTTAATCAAATTGGAGGATTATATTTATTGAGGTCAAGTACGCCGGTTGCATTCTGAGAATGCCATATCTTCTATGGTGTGGTTTCGGGATGTGACAAGATTTGTATCAAAGCATAGGTTATAAAAGTAGTCTTAGGAATCAAAAAGTCTCAACAAGTCACGTCTAGTAGAGTCTTGACCATCGGTGTGAGTCACGACACATCTATGGGTGAGAGAAAGTAGGATGGTGAAATTTTCCTTCTTTTATACTCCTATGTTGTGTCGTAGGGTAAAAGTTATGAGTACTCTTTTCTTATGGTTTTCATTGTGTTTCTACGAAGATGAATATGAGAAGGACACCGACTAGGAGATTTGAGTAGAATGATGTGCATGAAGAGATTCCTCCTCAACTTGAGAAAGTTCCTCAAGGTGCTCAAGTGCCTCCCCAAGGTGATCAAGTCCCTATTTCGGAAGGAGGTAATGATATTGCGGTCGTTCCCCCCGAGTTGAATAATAGTGATATTAGAGAGGCCTTGCTTGCCCTAGACCGAAACATAACTACTCAAGCGAATTTGAGTATGGTGCCTATAGTGAATGTTGTGGAGAGCACTATGACGTCTAGGTTGAGAGACTTTGTGAGGATGAATCCTCCTATAGTGAATGTTGTGTACAAGGTGTTGAGTTCTATGGGGGTTACATCAAGGGAGAAGGCAGAGTTAGCTTTGTATCAATTGAGGGATATTTCTCAAGTGTAATACACTCATTGGAAGGATAATAGTCTTGTGGAGTCGGGTCCTATTGAGTGGGATAATTTAAGGAAGCTTTTCTTGGAAAGTACTTTCCCCGTGAGAGGAGGGATGTTAATGTAGAAGAGTTTATCAATCTTAAGGAAGGCAATATGAGTGTTGAGAAGTACTCTTTGAAGTTTGCAATGTTATCTAGATATGTCCCATCCCTTGTATCTAATACGAGGGATGATATGAGTAAATTCATGATGGGTGTCACCGATCTAGTGAGGGAAGAATGTCGTACGACAATGTGACATGATGATATGACCTTAGCTAGACTAATGGAGTATATGCAATCAATAGAGGAGTCTAAACTTGGGAGGATTTCTAGGAATTTGAAAAGAAGTGATTCAAGTGATCAAGGTCAACTTAGATTCAAGAATAGGTCTGAAGTTCAAGAATAACCTAGGAGTGCTAAGGTGAAATTGGAGAAAGGAGGTGGTTCTCAAAATGGAAAACCTACATGTGACACTTGTGGAAAGAGGCACTATGGGGAACACTTAAGGGGTATCGGGAAATGCTTTGGTTGTGTTAAATAAAGATACAAGATGAGAGATTATCCTACTATTGCGACTAGAGGAATAGAGGGTAAATAAGTTGTTCCTAATGTTCCAAAGGATGATGCTTCAAATAAGACTAATTTATTGTTTGGTCTAATATTGTTGTAGTATGGTTAGAACAGATGGATATGAGCGTAATATTGAATATAAAATGAGTTTTTACTATTTGGAATAAAGGATGTGAGTTTTATAACATAATGAGTTGTATATTTTTTGTAAATTTCTTGTTGGTGTTGTGATGCTTGTGAAAAGTTCTCTTGATGTTTGAATTGTATAAGGTGTTCTACGGTATGGTCATGAACTGTTTAGTTGAATCTCTTTTCTTGGAAATGTTCGGAGAGTGGCAAAGTGTCATTCAAGGACGAATGTTGTCCAAGTGGGGGAGAATGTTAGATCTCAAAAATGACTTATTTGAAGCTAGAGTCTTACATGGCTTTAATGATGGTATAAGGTCCTAAAATGGTCTATAATGTGGTATTGAGGCAGTTTCTAGAGTGTTAGGTGCATTGAAAGTCAAACCTCGATGACTAAGACATTCGACCGAGGCACATAGTCGTCACCTATGTGCATCATATGTGGTAATGTGCATAATTGTGTGTGTAATGAGTTTATAAGGTCCTTAAATGAGTTATTATGGTGCTTATAGGTAGTGTGTCAAGTTTCGTGATGTTAGGAGGTCAAACGTCCAATAACGTCCATGAATTTCAAAAGGTTTGCCTTGAAATGACCTTGTGTGTATATGCATGTTTCGTTATGTTTTACGTGTTTGTTTTTGATGAAATTAATGTGGTAGGTCCTAAACCTGTATACAAGAAAGTTTGGGCTGGAAATTTTCGGGCAAACATCTCCAATAACCATCCAAGTGTCCTTGAGGAAGGACCCATGTTGGTGGCCAAGACTGCCCAAGACAGCCCAAACCACGGAGGCAATCGACGCCGAGTGGGTAAGTCGATGCCCCGTCGGTGAGGTCTTGTCGATGGACACTTGGGCGTGGGGAAGGAGAGTCCAAATACTAGCCTCTGTCCCAGACCACAGACCAGCATGATGGTCCATTGGTCAAGGGATTGGCCGTTGATGGTCCTTCCTGCGCAACTTGACTGTAGGTTGAGGGGTGAAGTTGAAATTTACCCCACATCCAAATAAGAATTAGGGCGGTTACTTAGGGTACTTTTGGGTATTTTGAATATGTTTATAAGTCTAAAACACTTAGCAGATTTCATTCTTCAAAATCAAAAACCAAATTCCCTTACAAATTCTCTAGAAGTCCATTGGTGCAAAAACTCAGGAAAGGGCTTGGATTGGATA